AGTTCACAACAGATACACATGAACCCTGGCTGTAGGCGTGACCACCTGTGTATTTTTCCTGGATGACGCAATCACGTTAAGTGTTACAGCCAATCACCGAAACTTGGTACCGAAAGACGAGGCATGTTTCGATACCAGGTAGAACCGAAGCATTTCGGTCGGTACCATAAAAGAACCGAAGTTGGGTACCCAGCCCTAGTTGGAACTCATTAATATTTATGATGCTTTTTGAACAACTCATCATACTGAGGTTAGTTTCCAAAATTCTAGGATTTGTTTGAGAATTTAAGTTTTTTCTAAAATAGCATAGAGTTTCCCAGTTAATATGGGCTGTGCCTCTTACTTTCCTCCTCTCATAAACCATTTTTATCCAAACTCTGGGAAACAGAATCTCACGTTTTATTAATGTTGAGGCTGTTTATCTGTGCATATGGTTATTTGAATAGGCATCTGGAAATTGTGCGTGTACCAGACAATATTTCTGATTGTCTGACAGTGAAGGAAAAAAGGTGTTTTGTTTTTACATGCAGGGAGTGAAAATATCAAGTTTCATCTCTAAATATGTAAAATATCCATCAATTAAGGAGGATCCAGGCCCATTAGGTCAGAAAAACAATCACCTGTAGGACTCCAGATTAATGCATTTAGGTTTCAATGTTGTCGTTTTTACTGTTCTGGGTTTAAGGATCATATATGGCCCCATAATATCCTCCCTTTCTTGACGGTAAAAAGCGTACAAAAAGAGTACAAGGTGTCTGGAAGCGGAAATAAAGCAGGAGTGTGAGTCAGGTCGTTGCTGACTCATTTTACACTGTCTGCTGTAAAACAAGCAGACCTTTCAGGAAGCTTGTGACCAAACAGCACAAACACAGGAGGCAAAGGTTCTCAGTGTCGCAAACAAGGAAAATCTCCATGCTCACTCCCATCCTTCCCTGCTGTGATGTCCAGTATGCTTCCCAGAAATGACCAGCACATTGCTTTATTGACTAGTCTCTCTGAGCAACCTTTTGCACTGGGTGTGTGTACTGACTTATCTGTGTTTCCTGGCCCCTTTATGCTTCCCAGTACAGCACACATTCGCATTGCTTGGATTTAGATGGTCTGATTGGGGATTTCCTCTTTACTTTCCTTGGAACTTGTTTTGCTTGAATGGGAAAAATTTAACCCATTAAGTTCTTGAGTAAATCTTTTGCATATTGTCTAAGAAGCCTGAAATCTAGCAAAGAGTTTTGATGATTAAAAAGCCAAGTCTTGGTTCACTTGAAAATACGGATTTGCTGTTTTATATGGTCGGCTGTCTGCTAATTTTGTAACTCTGCTGATGTTTTGTTCTGTAAATGCCTGTAATTACCCTGACCATTATACCAAACAGTTTATTTAAGTTTTCCTTTTTCTACATTCTCCAGTTCTTCGTGTCTCATTACTGTGCAGACAAAAGCAATGCACACCCCCTGTTTGAAGGGTGACATCTCGTGCAATGACAGCTGCTATTTTTCCATTGGCTTATTGACCTGCGGTTACATTTCTGTTCCAGAACAATAGGCGGAAGTAACCCTGGTACAGCTTTTTTAAAAGGGCCCCATTGGACACTCTTGATTCCCTCAACAGTGGGTTTGGAACAAGGCCGAACTGAGCTGGAGCGTGCAGAGAGCAGAGGAGG